AGGCGTTATGTGGCGTTAGGTCCGCTAATATTATGATTGTGCAAAATGATAATTAACCACAGCAATCTATTCAGTAACCTTGTCCTTGAGCTCATTTATCTCATACAAAATTGAAAATATTATCGGACTTGAACATTCCTATAATGCTAAAGCAAATTGAAGAATAACAATAACATAATTTCCAGTCAAAGCCATTAATTTCAATGCAAATGTAGCGTCTATGTAGAACATTCCACAGACTTTCATCTTGGTGTAGGCAGCTCGATGCAGACGTTGAATATTTTTGTACAACTTCTTCTCTGCATCTGTAATAGAGAACATAAATATTCCTGTAAATTGTGTATTTTAACTTTGTTTCAATAATATCTACCATCTTGTAGACAAATGGTATTTAAACGCTCGTGGAAGGAGTGAATAGAAGAAGTATTATTGTAATTCTTATCCGATTCGCGGAGAACCTAACGGGTTACCGGGGCTCCGGTTCGACGTGCAGGAGAAGGAACGGGGTGGTTTTTAGTCAGTAAGAGTCTGACACTCCCTCCCGCCTCACCCAGGCGGGAGAAGTCATTCGACGATGTTCCCCTCTTAAAAAAAATTCTTATCCGATAATAATTATGATAAAACAACAAACAAAGCGAAGCAAACTTTAATAGCTAATGTGTAAAAGCTTTACTCGGAGTCATTAAACGATTTTGTGGTTGTTTTTGTTCCGAAAACAATTATTAAGGATTGGGTTAAGTCACCATTAAGTGATTTTGAGTACAGCAGAACAGTGGATTCAATAGTATGATTACTGTCAGGTGAATTTTTTTTGACTTAAAGCCAAAGACGGAATCCAAGGAATTTAGACAAGCACTTCCTGCTTGTCTACATTTAAGGGTACGAATGTCTAACGACATTTGTATTGGCAGCATGTCCAGCGAAACCAGCCGACTTACACATATGGCAACGAAGCGCAAGGTGGAGACCCATGTAACGCTATGTTGGCACACATATCGGGCGATGTCCGGCAACGTCACCCAACGTCGCTGACAACACGTATCGCAAGACATACTTTGACCCTTAGTGTATCCTTGACTTATGAATTTACTAAAAATACGTTCAAAGTTCAAACTGTTATTTTTTTATTAAAACAATTTAATGACAGAGTATTGCATTTTTAGAGGGCGCTATTTTTTGTTTTGGGATATGTGTGTGGGGGAGGGGGCGTCAATAGAAGCTCAACCTCAAGTTTTTGGGGTCACCACCCTTTTCCAAAAACAAAAAAAAATATTGTTAATCAAATACATACATCCAACATCATAATACGATGTAATTTAGCTGACTGTTAAATGTACGAAATGATAATAAATATACCTAAAATGAAACCATGAAAAACTGGTCATAAATTGCGGCCGGGGGACAAGGGTGGCGATACACAAACTTGAAATCAAGCTTCTATTGACTAGTTTTTGGCTTGATCCAGAAATAAAATTGGGTTTTCTAAAACTGAAAGGTCATATAATATTTTAAGACTATATTAGGACCAAAAAAACTGCATGTCGGTTAAAAAGAAAAGATGCATAATACTAATTATATTACCTGAGCAGTTTGATTTCAGAATGAGTGCCCGAGTACTTTGAATATCATCCATAGCCTTGTAGAATTCGTCGCAGTATAAACTGAGGATAATTTCAATGAGAAAGCTCTTCAGGGTCCATAGATTCAAAAATATGATTGCGGCACATGCTTGATACTGTTGAAAACCACACAACATTATTATCATGACAATAGAAGTCATTTCTGATGCCAATGCCATTTTGCTACCAATGTAATATAATATGAAATTTTATTCTAAATACATAATAAAGTGTAGATGAATGATACTTACAAATACGAAATAACTTTCAATAAGAAAACTCATGCGCAACACGTCTATTGATACTTTAAATTTTATCAAAATAAAATAAATCACCATTACATTCTGGAATAGTATCTAAAATGAAAAAAAAAATTGTAATTCTGTCCATATTTTTAGTTAACAAATAAACTACATACTATTAATTAAGAACACTGGTTTTCTCAGTTGAAATAATGAGAAAAGCTTTTTTTGAGTAGCAGTGGGACTCTTCATTATCAGCAGCGTGCGATGACGCGGTGACGTCACGCAGCCTCCACTATAGTAGCAGTAGATTGAATTGGTGGTTTTAATTAGAGAGTGTGCGGGGGAATTACACAACTTGATTCCCCCTAGTCCTTTCCATCATCGTACCACAACACAATCGGCGAAGCGTCACCGATTCATGGTAACCCACCCACATGCACTAAGCGCTCCGCATCAAGCTTCCTTGTGCGTACTGCTAAGGAGTGAAATTTTGCCAGAGCCTGTATTGCCTGAAGGGTATAACCTGGGTGTCTTCAAGGCCCGAGTGAATAGGTTGCTTATGGGTCGACGTGCTCCATCATAGGCTACATCATCGCTTACCATCAAGTGAGATAGTGGTCAAACGTCAGTCCCATCTAATATAAAAAAGTCTATGTATAATAATGTACTATGTCTCTATACCTACCATTATTTGGATAGAAGACTTAAAGATGTTGTAACACTCCAAAATTCTTACATATGCTTGAAACATTCTCTTACTACATATTGAGTTGGTATTAGAATCAATTCGTGCTAAATGTTCTGCCTGTTCCTTCCATAAATTGACTTGAATTGTTAAGAACTTCAATAATCTGGCTCTCTGAACAATACTAATCTCAAAAATCATTAGAAAGAAATTCTGAATAGCACTCACTGAGATAGAAGATAGTTTAAAGACAAAGATACAAACCACCAAAGCAGTTAAGTAAAAGAGCAAATATAAAATCATACTGATCCAATTCCCAATAATGTAGTATTTGAAGTTATTGTTTCTACCAAGGAACCGGTGATTAGTTTGTATGTTAAGGATGAATGTGACGTTACTTTTCATTTGCAAGATGTTAATTATGTAATAGATGATGTACCCAAAACTGTACAAGACGCAGTCGCAGTAACCATTTACGTAAGTTATCTTGACGAATTGGAATTGAGGACCTACTGTATGTACAATGACGACTTCGTAAATTAAAATTATGATATGGAACAAGACAGCAATGAATGACAAAACATTAATCGTTAAATTATTTGGAAGGATTTTATTATTTTTGATGCGAAAGTTTGAGTAAAAGAATATTTTGTTACATATGTCGAATGGTAAAATGATCGAATGCAAATCTTTGTCAAGATGGTTGTCCAAAGAAACAAGTTCTTGAGCATTTCTAATATTGTTGTAGTCAACATCTTCAACGGGCAACATTTCATTAAAATGACGCGAGTGAAAAGGAATAAATTCATCTAGCTTTTAGTTTGTGTAATGAAATACCTAATACATTAGGAGCAGCCAATATTAAATTAGCTAGAAGCTAAAAGTCATAAGAAAATTAATGGTATATTTGACGTTGGAATGGTAATTTATGATTAATTTGAACATAAAGAAACAGAAATAACAGTATTGGTATTTTGTACAATAGGGTAATTGCCATGGTATGAAAGTTCAAAGTCTAATTAAACTGTCAAATACCAAGCGGTCACCGGTGACCGCGACCTATTGTTCTTTAATTGTGTCTGTAAAACCGGTACTCGACGAGTTAAATTAGTAATTACCTAGATAATGAAAAAATATTCGACACATATTTTTTTATTTTGTCGTATACATTTAGAATACTTAGATAATATAGAGTTATGATTAGGAGTGGGAGGTCGTTACGTAACAAAGTGCTACAAAACATAGCACGTTATGACGTCACACGATATTTAAAATTAATATATCGTCGAAAGTATTTAATTACAGCAGAGAAATTTAGATTACCTATAATTAATAATACTTATGCAAAATGCATACGCTCCCTGCGTTAGTCCCGTCTGATACCGATGGACACAGTCATCAAACTATAAGAGGCGATGTAAAATAACATAACATCACGCCTTTTATCCCCGAACGGGTAGGTGCATATTACGGCACTTAATGGCACTATACAATGTAACACCCACTTTTCACTATTTATGTTATGAGTCTCATGTAATAAGGGGTGAGCCTATTGCCATATACAGGGCACATTTCCAGACTCCGTGCTACTACTGAGATTTTAAAAACCCAGTAATTCTTTGCCCGACCCGGTAATGGAACCCGACACCCCATGCCCGGCAGTCGCACTTGGTTTGTAAAAAATCCAGTAGTAGCACGGAGTCTGGAATTGTGCCCGGTATATGGCAATAGGCTCACCCCCTATTACATGGGACTCATAACATAAATAGTGAAAAGTCGGTGTTATATTGTACAGCGGCATAATGTGCACCTTTGCCTAGCTCTTCGGGGATAAAAGGCGTGATGTTATGATTAAATTTCTATCCATATTTTTTATGAACTGCTCAGCAAAGGCTTCTTCTCACACGGAGCATCCATCAAGAAAATTAGACAAAAATTAGACAACATTATTTTCAACCAGGTTTAAAACTTTATTCACTTTTTCTTCAAGCAGGTAGAGTAAAGTTCATAGAATTAAAGTCAGATATATTATTATAGTTTTGAGGCATCAAAAGCTGTAACTGCGCTATAGTGTATGTGCTAATGATCCCGGCTAACTGCAGTGGCAGTGTGGCGTCTACTACAAACAGGCCGTAAGCACTCATCTTCTTGAACGACGCTCTCTGCAGACGTTGGACGTTTTTCAATATTTTCTTTTGAGTACCTGTAAATAAAAAAAACGTATATTAAATGTAAATACTTTGAATTCTACAATTGGCGTATCTTTTATTTAGCACTGGCAAGAAAAATTGGCCCTTGATATGTAAAACAAATATAGGAGACCCATGCTTCGACACGAATGGGCCGGCTCGTCGAGGGTATTACAACGCTTGTGTTATATTTCGTCTTGTAAGTAAGGTTACTGGAGGCCCACGTCCCAATCCCTGAATCCCAATCATTCTTCAAATTCATAATCCCCAAAAGGCCGGTAATGCACTTGTAACGCCTCTGGTGTTCCAGGTGTTAATGAGCGACGCCGATAGCTTACCATTAGATGATCCGTGTGCTCATTTACCGGGTTATCTAAAAAAAAAGCAATCCGTATTTTCACCTTGACTGCCAATAGAGAAATTTAAAGAAATCAAGACCAAATCTACGGAGGATCTTTGGGGCTTATCGGTAATAGTTTGCAAGTCACTTATCCAAACTGTAGCGCCATATCTGGCTGTGATTTTCAATAAATGTATAGATGACGGTGTTTTCCCTGACCTAATGAAATATAGTAAGGTTATCCCACTATTTAAAAGTGGTGACACTAAAGAACCTAACAACTATAGGCCAGTGTCTGTTTTGCCGGTTCTCAGCAAAGTCTTTGAAAAGTTGATGCTGTCTCGGATGCTTCATCATTTTAATAAACATTCCATCTTTCACCAACAACAATACGGTTTCACTAAAGGTCGTTGTACAACTGACGCCGGTGTCACTTTGATTAAGGAAATATTTGGTGCTTGGGAGGAAGCACAGGATGCTATTGGTGTCTTTTGTGACCTCTCAAAAGCATTTGATTGCGTTGACCACGAGACACTTTTGCTGAAATTAGATCACTACGGGATAAGAAACTCTGCGCTCCGTCTTATGAGATCTTATTTAGAAGAGAGACAGTTAGCGGTTCATGTTAACGGTATTAACTCGCAGGGCTCTGGGATGAATATGGGCGTTCCTCAAGGTTCAATATTGGGTCCCTTTCTCTTTTTAGTCTATATAAATGATTTGCCATTTATATTTAAAAATGAACCACGAATGGTGCTTTTTGCAGATGATACATCATTAATTTTTAAAATAGATCGACGTACAAATAATCTTGACGACGTAAACAGCTCCATTCTTCAAGTGCATAATTGGTTCACCATTAACTCGTCGAGTACCGGTTTTATAGACACAATTAAAGAACAATAGGTCGCGGTCACCGGTGACCGCTTGGTGTTTGACAGTTTAATAATCTAGCACTTAATGAGAAAAAAACAAAATGTATTAAATTCAGTTTACCAAACGTGCGTAGTAACGATAGTGATATTGTTTTGAACGGTCAAAAGTTAGAATTTGTCGACGAGACAGTATTTTTAGGCATTACGTTAGACAATAGGCTACAATGGGGTCCGCATATAAAGGCGCTTTCGGGGAGATTGAGCTCAGCTGCTTTTGCAGTTAGACAGATTAGACAGCTCACGGACGTAGATACAGCTAGGCTTGTCTATTTTAGTTATTTCCACAGCATTATGTCGTACGGCATTTTGTTGTGGGGTCGAGCTGCAGAAATAGAATCAATATTTATTCTACAAAAGCGGGCTATCCGAGCAATATATAACTTACGCCGTTGCGAATCGCTGAGAGAATTGTTTAAAACGATAAATATTTTAACGGTGCCCTGTCAATATATATATGAAAATATAATGTATGTAAGGAAAAATAGGCAATTGTTTGAAAAAAGAAGCGATAGACACAATTTTAATACTAGAGGCAAAAATAAGTTAGCTATACCGCAATTCAGACTGTCCAAAGTACAGAAATCCTTTATGGGGTTAGGTATTAAATGCTATAATAAAATACCAAATAGCATACTAGATCTCAGTGAAAGTAAATTTAAAACATATATTAAGCGCGAATTATGTAATCAAGCCTACTACACACTGACAGATTATCTTGAAGATAAGAATGCTTGGCAGCATGTTGGTTCAGCTCCACTGGACAATACTCAAATGTAGTCAGTAGCTAAATTCCAATAGTAGGTATTTTAATACATAATTTAACACTTTAATTCTAATGTAGACAATCTAGTTTCCTTATGGCATTGAGCATTTCTTTATTGAAACAAAGAGTTTCCTTTTCTTGTATAGAAGCACTAATTCTATGGATTGTCAGTATGCATATGTGAGCACCATGTTGGACTTTAAGTTAATTTTTATTAATTTATTTTTTTTTAATTTTTGTAAGTTATTAGTATAATGCGTCAAGCGTGTCTTTGCATTGTTCTTACATATGCGTACAGTATTGAAATATGTATCAGAGACATTGTAGAACATACTTTTTTTAAAAAGAGTAACGAATGGAGTTTCTTGCTCGTTCTTCTCCATTCGAATCTACTTTTTGGAATGAGCACCTAGCTTCACCTAGTTTCACTGACGGACTGACTGACAGACTATTATTTATTTTGTATTTGTTGACGTTTCAAAAGCACCAAACTATGGTTTAATTGAAATAAATGCTTTGACTTTGACTTTGACTTAGAAAACTGTTGAAGGCGTAGGTCACCCGTGACTTACGCGGCGGTTAACATCTTAACAAAATACTTGACAATGAAGTGCTGCTTGTTTTGAATATAACATATTTTGTTGTTTATGAATCAATATCAAGTAGTCCTTTGTTAAATTTATACATAACAGCTTCAAAATAATACATATTAACTAAAATCGCGGGTTACTCACTCTGCGCGACGTCGCCGCGACCGCGCACGCTGCTCATGAGAAAAAACCCCTCTGTGGTTCGAAACTAGTAGAGCTTTTCTCAGTATATTTACGTGAGTAACCCGCGATTTTAGTTAATTTAGTATGTCTTACGATAGACAGACACGATATTCTTTTTATAGCTTCGACTGTACTGTTGGCGGTGATTGGGTGACCGGCTACTACACAACATGTCGCGGGTTCGATCCCCGCGCTGGTCAAAACGTGATAATGGCATTCTCTGAGTAAAATGACTATTATTAGCCCGAAATCAGGAAGTTCAGCGATGGCTTGGAAAGCACGTAAAACTTGCGCCAGAGAGGGAGGGAACCGAGAGTTCACCATGAGATTGATTAATAATAGCACAAGTTTAAAAAAAACCTTAGTGGATTTTGGTTGCTATTTTAAAGTGTGGGAGAGCCATGCTTCGGCACGAATGAGCCGTTTCGACCGGAGTGATACCACGGCCTCACAGAAAACCGACGTGAAGCAACGCTTGTGTTGTGTTTCGTCGTGTGAGTGAGGTTACCGGAGGACCAATTACCCTCCCCTTCCCCAATCTCCACAATCCCTAAATCCCCATCGATCCTCCAACTCCTAATGCCGGTAATGCACTTGTAGCTCCTCTGGTGTTCCAGGTGTCCATGGGCGACGCCGATTGCTTACCATCAGGAGATCCGTCTGCTCGTTTGCCGGCTTATTCCATAAAAAAATGGGCAATCCTGTACTTAATGTAAATATGATAAATAATAAAAAAAAACCTGTGTTTGGCCACTAGCTAGATTTGCCACTGTGACCGAAAACGATCGGTAATTTTTTTTAATAGCTTTACCTTTACCTTATCTATCAACTATCTTGCCTTACCTTGCCATTCTGATGTCTTCATAAGCGTCATATTTACAGTTTGTGATTCATTCAGAACTGCGTAAAATTTTTCGCTTTCATTGCAAAGAAATGACAACAAACCAATGTTCCTTGAAAGCCATAAAACTTTTGCTATAAAGTATGAAGTAGACTGTAAACAAAAATTAAAATGTATTTGTAACAATTACATAACAACATAACGCCTTTTATCCCCGAAGGGGTAGGCAGAGGTGCACATTATGCCACTGTACAATGTAACACCTACTTTTCACTATTTATGTTATGAGTCCCATGTAATAGAGGGTGAGCCTATTGCTGTATACCGGGCACAATTCCAGACTCCGTGCTACTACTGGGATTTTTTTAAAAACCCAATAATACTTTGCCCGACCCGGGAATCGAACCCGAGACCCCTTGCCCGGCAGTCGCACTTGCGACCACTCGGCCAACGAGGCAGTTAGTAATAATTATTTTATAAATTACGTTTACAAACATCGACTTCAATCCCCTCTTTTTTTGAAGTTGTTTCATTAATATACTGAAATCTTTTCCTAAGTATAACGAAGACTATTCTGAAAACCCCATTAAAATCAGTTCAGCCAGTCGAAAAATAATCGAACACAAACATACATCATACGTTCAGGTAAAACTGAGAACCGCCTTCCTTTTTTGAAGTCAATTAAAAACTCGTGTCTTGACATTGTTCTCACATATATGTACACACTATTACACATCGAGCTTTACATAACCAGTATAAAGTGAACGTTAAATGTGCGGAAAGATGATGCGACGCGACACCAGGATAAACTGGTTTTGTATAGATTGATGTGTGGCCGTGTGTACAATATTTGTATATGTACCAGAGAGACTGTAAACATATTATTTTTCAAAAGAGTAACGAATTGGGTTTTATTGTTGTTCTTCTCCACTCGAATCTTCTTTTTGGAACCAGGGCCTAGCGTCACTGACGGACAGACTGACAGACTATTATTTTATTTAACATTTGTTGACGTTTCAAAAGTACCTAATGATGGTTTAATTGAAATAAATGCTTTTGAGTTTGAGTTTGAAAAATGCCATTACTTTACTGAACATATTACTGTACATGATTATTTGCTCCCCTATCGATACCACATGCTTATTTGTCTCCTTATCGATAAAATAAGAATTAGAAAATAAATTAAAATCTTTTTAAAAACAAACAAACTACACATGTATAAAATATTTCAGCTAAATCCGATAATATCTGCTCCAAAATTCAATTGCAAGATTCCGTTTTACACGCATATTGTGAGTTAAATAAAAGCGTGTAACAAAATAACATTCATTTTATCCATGTACTAAAGTATGATTAGATCAGAAACTAGAATATGGCTCAGTATATGATTGAAACCCAACCACGTTTCTGCCTACTTTTTTTTCACGAGGGAAAATCATCACAAATCTCCCGTCTGGGTGAAGCAGGAGGGAGTGTGAAACTCTTACTGACTAAAAACCACCCCGTTCCTGCTCTTGCACTTGAGCCGGAGCCCCGGTAACCTTTTATGTTTTCCGCGGCTCCGTATCGGTATCAGCCCCGTTAGGCCCCATCCGTGGTTGTCTGATGGCTCTTGGCGCGGAACGCGACGCACCGTCCGCTCGGGTCTGGCTCTGGTCGGGCGACAAGCTAGCCATGCTCGCCATCTCGTTTGCCTAGAGATCCTCTCACATTTCTGTCTCCTTAGTCAACCAAATAATTAAAAATAATGATATAACTTATTTTACTTACATACACATTCGTTCCGTAAAATTTTGCAGCATGAACACAAATTGAAACCGTAACTAGACTGTTACACACGACGTACATTGTGTCAAATGCCAACTGGAAATGCAAAATGTTTACAGATTAATCATTATGTATGGTTTCATCATAATCTGATGATCACATCAGACACAAGACTTCAACTGCTGAACGTAAACCTCCCTCGATGACCTCCAGGATGCTTACTCTTGAAACCAATCTCAATGTCAATGCGATTTCAATCCAACCAAATTTTAATATGTTAGCTGTAAAAATAGTATTCAGAGAAGGGAAAATAAAACCAAACTCAATACCTTTCAGTTCATTCAATATCCACGCCATTCGTAGGCAATGGGCGCTAATGATGAAACTCAAGAGTACAAAATTTCACAATACCAATGTCGATCGATCGGAATTGGATTCAAGAGTAAGCCCCTGGGTCAGCCAGTAGAAAGCAATCGTCCGTTCACCTTGGGGTGGACGTGGCCTCCATTCAAGAGCCTTTATGCCCAGGTAGTCGTCGGTTCTTCGATTTGAGCCCCAATCACTTCCACTTCAACTGGCTATATATTTCTTACATACACACATACATACATAACTACGGAACACCAATTGCTATGATTCTTACATATCTTACTCTTTCGCTTTATCAACAGTAATTAGTCTTTTCATGCATGCTCATCGGTTAAGGGTTATTTTATGGCATAAGCCGGTAAACGAGCAGACGGATGACCTGATAGTAAGCAATCGGCGTCGCTCATGGACACCTGGAACACCAGAGGCGTTACAAGTGTGTTACTAGGTTTTTGGGGATTAGGAGTTTGTGGATGGTTGGGGATTCAGGGATTGGGGAGATTGGGGAAGGGGAGGGTAATTGGGCACCTACTTTTAATTTGACCCCTCTTTTAATATATCGCCAATATGGTTTGTATAAGTCCGTCTAGGGCGCGCACTACCGACAGCTACATTCATATACTTCTTTCGTTACTCTTGTTTCATCCATCCTTTCTACATATTCAAAACAGCGTACCATTTGCTTTTCAATACTTATTACTACATCGTCTCTAAGCGTAGGTAGAAAGCGGACTATTTCTTACTGAACTTAAAATAAAGTAAGTTCTTACAAATAGCTGAAACGTCTCTTGTAGCAATTCATATCCTTCCAGTATATTTGAGTACACTTTGAACATTCCTTCCCAGTGACAGTCTCTCTGCAAATGTTCCTTTGTCGACTTCTTGGCTTTTTCTATCCATAAACTCAATGTTTTCCTCAGTAAAATTATTATTACTGTAGCATATACCATAAGTACTTCAAACAAAATATTAGGGTAATTTATGAAACAATTGATAATCAATTGCACAGAAAAAATGTCTAGTTTGAACTGGTTTTTTTCTAAAATATACAGAACGTTTAAAGTTACCACGCAGACCCAGTTGAAGATTTGCAGGGTTCTAAAAAATCTAGTTTTGATTTTAATCATTCTAAGCGCGTATTGAATTTTTAAGACGACTAATACGTTGTTGTTGCTATTGACCATATTCGAACAGATATGTATCAGCATTACAAAAAAACAAACGGATAACTGCATGATCAATCTTAAAGATAAATTTAAGAAATAGTTATTGAGACCAAATAGTACTAGCATTATAAAAAGAATAAAAAATAGAATACAGATGTACACGACAATGTATAATATTGTACAGTAGTTGTAACAAGAACTATTCGGAGTAATGAAGTTATCTCGGATACAATACTTTGCACAGAAGAATATGTTCTGCATCAAATTCAGGGGTCTTAGCACTGATTGTAAGTCTTTATCAATAATATTGTCCAACAGTACTTCTTGATATTGCTGCTTGGGGATTTCTTTTGTGATCATTTTATTTAATTTTGATTTAATATTCATTTTTGAATTTTGGGTCTTCAAAACTGTATGTAAGAACGTACTAAAGATTTATCAAAGAAGAAAATATGATGACATATGATGAAAATTGCGTGAGAATCCAGTTCTGACTCATCTATAGCCACCTTACTATGATCACAATAGCTTGAACAAAAGTGAAGCGACCATGAAGAATACACATCCCGTCGATTAAATCTAACATTTGACTGAAAAGGTCTAAGCTATCATAATAATATTATATTAAACGAATCAATTACTTTATTTTATAGTGACGTAGTTTATTTTATAGAGATGTCCTACCCAAAAGAAATAGTATTATGAATATTTTTAATAGATGAGAAAGTACTTTTAGGAAAAAGTATTGAACTTTATCGATAAAATGAAATTATTGTATTATACTGTCGGGGGCCATATTAAGTTAATGAAATGTAAATGTTATGTTTTGAAAATGAAATAGGTTAAAAGCGATAACATTGGATAGAAAGGCAAGAAACTTATATATATATTAGTGTGAACTTGAGAAAATAATTAATGATTTTTCAGGAATATTCTTTTCCCGTAACACCAGAGGCGTTACAAGTACGTTACCGGCCTTTTGGGGATTATGAATTTGAGGATTGTTGAGAGATTTAGGGCGGGGGGAAACTGGAAAGGGGAGTGGTAATTTGGCCTCCGGTAACCGCATTCATACGACGAAACAAAACGAAAACATTGTCCCACGTCGGTTTTCTGTGTGGCCGTGGTATCAGTGGTATATGGAGGTGGTGGTGTAAGCATGGCTCTACCAAACTCAAACGCTACACACATTAATGAAACACATCGCTACGCACATCAGAGTTATGATTCAATAATTTTTTTTCGAACCGACTTTATTGACTATATTATTATTATCTTTACACAGACATGGAGGGATACGAAATTTGATTCCAACTTCATAATAGAAGCTACTAAATTTTGTTTTGTACTTAAATATCGTATCATCTCTGTCATTTTCCAACGAATTTATAGTGACATTAGTTTTGTGGAATTATAAGCTGTAACTGCGCTATAGTATATGTACTAATGATCCCGGCTAACTGCAGCGGCAGTGTGGCGTCTACAACAAACAGGCCGTAAGCACT